TTACAATAAGGCTTTCAAATAAGTCATGGTTGTACGGCAGTGAAGCATCGGTGTTGAACACTGATGTCATGCTGTCGATGATGATGATGATGATGATGACTTACCACCCGGAAAGGTTTTGAAATGGCTTTATGTCCATAATGGCCCATAATGGAATGGTGAATGGTTGTTCTAAGTTCTGTAAGTCTGGTCACTTAAATCGGCTTACAAGGACTTAATGAGTTTTCTCACATTTCAGGCGTTCTGGTCAGAACTTTTTTTCTTCCTATGACCATTTGTCGTCCCGAACCCGTGTAGCTTCACGTCATAGCTACATCGTTGGACGTCCATATTGCCACAGGAAGTGTATCGAGCAGCACAGTTACATAGGTGTAGTGGGCACTGCGGTTTCTCCGCAATGAAACTCCGGATCAAGCCACTGACGAAACCCGAGCAGTCTGTGGAAGTCAGTTTTCTTACTTGTTTCTTGCACTAGTTAACTCTAGGTTTCTTCGAACGCTACAACATCAGACTTATTCGAGGCTGTCCACTCAGCTTTTGGTGTGGACCCAGCGGGGCAGCGACTTGTCTTTAAAGGATGTCCTTTGTTGGGTACGTTATTTTCTCATTCCTCCCCTACAATCAATTTAGACAAGTCTAGGTTGGTCTCACAGTATGGAATACGTGATGGAGATAAGCTAACCTTGGTCATCAAACAAGTATCGGTGCCAGACAGTTTCCAGGAGCGTCGGCCAAGCTTCGAAACGCTCTTGCGCAATCACTTGGCTCACACCTACAGTGATCGTGAGGTTGAGGTGATAGTGTCTAAGTTTATGCATGTAAGTTTTATTTCCCTTCGTTACGCTACCTTCTGTTTGTGTTTAAACGAGAAATATGTGTTCTGATTTACACTTCCTTGACATAGGCCAGCGTTGACTTCACCGTATCCTCAAAAGCCGAGCATTCTGCTCATCTTTCCAATTAGAGAAAAGTGCACGGTGTACGCATCATTCCACGGGAAACAATAAACTTCGCTCCACCTTCGTATTTGTGTTATGCAAGTGCAAATCACAGGATCAATCCTACTACCACTGTAGTAGACGGAAGCTTGCAGTTGCGACCATGGCGACTGTGCGAACATGGCGTGCGAACGTCTTTGGCGCACACACCACATCTCTTTCCAACCAGTGCTTCAACGGAAAAGCGCCTATTTGCTAGAAGATAGCCCTGAAAACTCCTATGTGTAAGAATGAATTTTTGAAATATCAGGCATCGTTGGTGAATCTAATCTTACTGATGTCCATATTCCAGCCATACAGCTTGTCTATTGAAAATTGCGCTCCACAGTGGGTACTGTCTTTTCGTTTCTTTCGGCTCTCGATGGAGAGACGAAAACCGCACGTTTCAGTGTTTTGCATCAAGTCTCTTCGTTACAACTTCCCACAAATGAATGCTTGCAGATGACGAGTTTTCCAACCGAGCCCAGTTCATAGGTCTGAGTCGTCATCAACACCAAACCGAACTTTTTACTCCCGCGTTTCCTAGAGTGGTCAGGTCATATCCAATAAACTCATAAGGTCCAAGTGCAAGCTGTTAGCTGCAAAATTACGACGAATCGGAGTTATGTGATTTCCTACGTTATCAGTATCTTGTTAATCATGATGCACTGCACAATGCGCTCGTGTCACGCTTCCTCGTCGGCCTCTTTGGGCTGTATTTTTGCTACATTACCGATTAAGTACCTATTTCTGAATTGTTACTAGTTTGTATGGTAAAAATTCCTCTCCTGGATTTCACGGAGCTGTTCTTGATTTGACACGACCTGACTAATTGGAGGTCTCTATTTTCCTCAGTGTCCCTCCTCCAAAGCTAGTTCGTATCAATTAATGCTAAGTCAGGTTGTGAACTGAGGTAAAGGCGGTTTGCCACATTGTTGGGACTATGCCGTTCTGCGGCGATCCAACGTTCTGAGTGATTTTGTGGACTCCAGTGATCTCAGTTCTCACGAATGTTCACGAGGATGTATCAGACTAGAAATCATACAGTCAGAAAAACAGTAATAGGACCTGTATAGTTGGTTGCATTCCCATCTGTCGGTCTACTGTCACAGGCAGACTGAAGTGTTACCATAAGTGTGCTGAAAGGTTTATCCTTGAGTGTGCCTCTACATCTGATAAGAAACGAGTTTATGATTGGTAGATTCTGTGCTGATGTCTCAACTTACTTTGGTGCTTAGTAAGGCTCCTCATTTACGGATCAGATTTTCAGGTCCCCATAATTTTTGTTTGCTGAAACACCTACTCCACTGTTTCGCACACCGCCCCATTGTATATGCATAGTCTCACTCCTGTTCCGTTTTTGACACCGTATCGTATTTTTTTCTGAAGGTATCCCCAGCGCTGCATATTATTGGTTTTCTTTCAGATTTTGTTCACGCGCATCAATGCAATGAGCTTGAATGACATTGAACGTCTCGCAGAAATATGGAAACATTCGGATGGATGACAGTATAATCGTTATGCTAAAACTTCCCGGACGTAATTGGATTTAGGGACAGACGCTCAAAATACTCGTCTGTACATTGAATCTATGTTTTACATTGTACACAGTCCACAAAAGGCGTTTTATATTTTAACACAGTTTAAGATGCTACCTTCCTGGATTTGGTGCGCTTATCCAGATTTCATCAAGACTTAGTCGGGGCCATGTTTCTTTCGTCAGTCAACGATTTATACTCAAGTCGACAGCTCCAAGGGGACCATCAACGAAAGTCCAAGACACGCTGAAAACGATTACGGTATGGTCGCTTACGACCGTTGTTATGTCCTCTGAGCTCAGTTCAGCTCAAATAAGCTAATAAATCAGCGACCACATATTCAGCGTGAACCACTTGCATTTCTCTGAACAGGTTTTCGACAAATCACGTCTTCAAGGGAGCTTGATATAGCTCGAGGAATTAGTTGTAAACTTCAGCATGAAGAGCCTACCCAACTTTCCGATCGTCGCTCTCTGGTCATGGCCAATCTGACAGCTACTCATCCTCTATACATCCATCGGGTTTCAGGACGGAATTCTACAACTAAATTCGATTTGCATTTTGCCGTGAGAATTAAGCAAACCATCAGTTGTCTCCTGGGAAGGTATCCCCAACAGAAAACTTAGTTGCTCTGTTGTGTATCGATGCATAACCTGCAGAGACTAGTTCAGGCTCGATAGTCCTCGTAAAAGTTCAGCGTTGTCTTTTACGGTAGAACATTTCGAGCAACCAATGTGACTTTTTTAAACTCATCGTTTCGGACATCCACGTGAGAGGTATATATATATATATATATATATATATATATATATATATATATATATATATATATATATATATATATATATATATATATATATATATATATATATAACCTAAAAGCGACTATTTGGATAATCCCAAGTTGTACACCTTCCAGTCTGTACACGGATTGTTGTGCTGTCTTTATGGTGCCTCTCGCATATCCTGATGCACGAGATTCCCATCCTACTTAACTGCTTTTAGCCTAAACTTTCGAATTTTGTAGGAGAAGAGCCTTGCCCGTTGGTGTTTCTAAGAGTGATTCAAAACACCCCTGATGAAAATCTGTTCTTAGACCTACTGGGGAGGATGTGAATTTTCAATCTTGATTTGACTATCGAAAACTAGGTAATCGAATTGCTCAGCTCGGCGAACAAGCAAACGACCATTGAAAACTCAGCCTGTACAGTGGATTATGAGAATTCCTACGTCGTCTATAGCTCGTAACTCATAGTAGAGAAGGTTCACCTATCCACCCCACCAGCCGGTTTGGTCGAACACGCCCTGTTAGCTGCACAGATTACAGATCACCTAGCGCATGACAGTTGGCTACATGCGGGGTATCTAATAACGGCAATAGTCCTACACTGAACGCAGAACTTTTGGCCCTACGTACACCACTACCAGGCTAAAACCGTTTGCAGATAATACGGTGTAGATTTACTAGAAGTTGTTAGGATCGTAAAGGATTGTTTGCTAACACTCCACGGTGCCTTGTCATCAGCCAAAGTGCACAATTCCGATGGTTACGTACCATCAGCATTGTTAAAACTATACAGATCCGAGAGGAATACAAGATGAATTTGCCGCGAGCTTTCAACTAAAAAGCCACTGGTTTCAAACGGCTCCTGCTGTTAGATCGCTTGCTTCCTTGGGTTTGCATGTCAACATGGAACTAAGAGATTGAGGTGTCTGATCTACCGCTCAAAATTCGAATAAAGCGGGCTTCTAGTTGTACCACCCTCCAGACAGGAGTAATCACATTCAATCTCTTGTACTTTTTACGACCGACCCCATTTTTGAGACACCATACCAAGCCTGAATTGGAGCCGTAATAACTGCATTTTTTGTGTTGCTATACATGTGTTATTCCCAAGTATTCGTCTTCTTCCTCAATCTGAGCTTCTGTATGTGCATTTTTGTTCCCCTTGTGGTTGAGTTGCATGATTGGTGTTTCCATCTAAGTTGTTTGCATTAGGTAATGTCTGGCCGCATCACATTTGTTTGCATCAACGTCCAATGTATCTGCATTTTGGCATCATATGATGGTTGTCCTAGTAGATATAGGAACATTCAACAGTATCCCATACACATGAGGTCCTGATTCCTGAATACCTCAGTAATGACGAAAGTTGCTCATATGTTGCGTGAAAATTAAACGGAATTGGGGTTTGGTTTTGTACTATGAGGCAAACACTAGTTTTACATATTTCACAGAGTATTACCGTGAAAAACTGTAACTTCACTTCAGACTTGTAACAGTGCTCGTAGCTGTAGGTGTATTAGGACAAGATCATACCAAGAACACACGTGAAATACATTGCCCAAAAGTAGTACGAAATCGAAAAATCAACAGTAAAAACGCGCAATTTATCGGTTGACAGCTGTCGACCATATGATACAAAATAGAAAAAAGTGCCTGGAAACATCACAAACGAGAGATTCAGCTGGGTTCCAGGTGAGTATCTCCGAAAACCAAATTAGTTTGCAAATGGGTGTATTTCATTAAAAAGTCCTCTTTGCTATTGGTATGCGATTGGAACTATTCCGGGACGTGTGTTCTATGGCAACTTAGAACGTCCGTGGTGTGCCCGGGCCGGTAACTGTTGGGTTGATTGCGCGATCTTCAAGAGTTGCGATTAATTCTGAGCCAGTAAAACTGCGGACTGTGTTTGCAACCTGATAATTATCAAGATATCCGAACTCTGATCCAAGACATTGCGATGAACAATTCACTGATGTCAAAAAGCGCATTATTTTGAAATATAAGCGAATTTATACTCAAAGTCATCTGCATACCAATTAGTTTTTCACGCGAGTAGTTTCCGGTATGAAAGCATACTGCGGTATCTCGAATATCGTACCAACTGAAACATGAGGCGGCTTGGTGCAGCACATTCGGTTGCTTAAAAAAGTCATAAACGAGAGATTCAACCGGAATTTAGGCGAGTCTTCCGTGAGAACCAAATTGGTATGCAAATGATTGCATTTGTCAAATTTTGGTCCAACTAAAACAAGGTTAACGGGAACTCCAAGACTGCGCCTACTTGAGGAACCCGAAGGAAAGGGCGAAACTGGTGGTGGGCTGTGAAAGAGCTTTCAGTAACCTTATAAGTAGTTTCCTTCGTAGGTTTAAAGTTGACTTGTTCTGGGATTCCAGTCCTTATTATTGTCGTATCGGAATGCAAAAGCCTAGACAAGCTACGGGGATGGATACTGTTCTAAATATACATATTTTACAGAAGTTGTCTTCCCTGTGATAGCTGTTCACCGAGTACGTTCCAAGCGACCAGGATCCTGTATTGTGCCAACGTCGATCTCCTACATACGAGTGTAAGAATTGGATCACCCTTACTGGTTGAACGGTTAGCGGAGCACAACAAAGTCACGGCGAGACCATTTGTTTACGTTAACTCCTTCCGCAATGGTTGTACTGTAGAAGGGCATTGAATGAAGATTGTGGTGGACTTGAAACATCGTAAGCATGCTATGTGCAACTTGCACCTTGGAGTAAAACGATGTAATGGTAAGTCTGTCGATGGACTGAAACAGTTTCAGGCCAATTGTACTAATCTTTCTTTGTCATGTTGGGGTGAAACGGTTGAAAATGACTGGTATTCTATGAGCCACTACTGACCAGTCTCTATAAGCCACCTTATTACTCGCAGAATTATAGCTGACTGACCTTGGAGCTATTTTGGTTTCCTAATGAGCCCTCAGACTGATTCAGTGTTACAATTTTCCATCTGATGCTTTTGCACAGGTCTCAACTATTTGCGAATGACAAGTATGCGGGGCGGTTTCATCATGTGTGCTTTTTTGAGTTGATGTACGACTGACTAGTGGCCTGAATGTTGAACCTGCACACGGTGCTAAAGTGGCTCTGGAGGGATCATCAGGAAAGATGTAACGTCTAATAAAATGCTTTTACTAGCACAGTGGTGGCACATTTGGCCCTTGCGAGTCACGCGACTAATTCAAATACTGTTCTTCGAATGATGTATCAAGCGTCTATCTATATCCCAAGATCCCTTCAATGTCGATATCTGACCCCAGCTGAGGCAGTTGTGATTCGCTCATTCGCTCCGAGTCGTCACTCAGAAACCGGTCTTATGCTTTCACAACTTGCTCAGATGACCGCCAGTCACTCAGTCGGGTCGATCGTGTCGTAAACAGTTTTCACACTTCTACCCGCAGACCCCACTTCATCCTTGTTTTACTTGTACGGTCATTTGTTTCTATTTTTATAATCCCTCAATCTTTTTTGACCACGAGAAGAGATTGCGGTCACATTGGTATTCGTCAACTTGGTTCCTGATTTTCTCGACTCTAATGCATGGAAAGTTTGCTTTCAAAAATTGCGGTGAATCATGACGCCTGTGATGAAACCACAACAGTTTGCTAAGAGTTTAGGTGATCCAATATACGTTTTTTCATTACTAATCCTAGGGTTGTTGAAAGTCCTGGATACCCGACAATCGGTTCCACGCTTTTTAGCGATCATCAGGTAGCCTAACCCCGGATTTCCTTATACTTAACTGTAATTTTCTTCCAATCGAGTAATAAAAACGAGACCAAATTAGTCAGAACAGAAGGATGTGTACAACAGCAAATTCTAAAATATGATTCCCTGTGACTGAGTTTCCTCAGTCCGACAGTTTGAAATGGAGTCTTCTTAGCTTATGGCGCACAGATTCAGTTTGTGACGCAACGAGAGGCCTAGACACTCGAGTGACCAGCATTTTGGGACCTACTGGTTAATGAGGAGTATGAATTAAAGTTCAAGTAATCTTAAGACGTGTCTGTCTTTCGGCGGAGCAGCGATTCGGCACTTTGATATTCAGTTTAGGGTAAGTAAACTATCTTGAAGGAAATCGAAATTCGAGGACTGGGATCTCGAACAACCAAGTAGCCATCTTCATCGTAACGGAAAGCGATGAGGAATCTGCTTATTGGAGGATTCCGACATTAGTGGTAGTTTTGCCCACTGTCATAACTATCCTTTGATTATTCTCCACTGCCACTCCAGTTGGTCCAATGTGCATTTTGCCCGTAGGATATGGTCTCGTGCGTGCATCACGTTGAATGTCATTCTGGGGAACGTGACTATGCACATTATAGTGCTTCAGTGCCGTTCGAATCCTCAGGCTTCAAGAGCTCCGTGGGCTTAAGAGGGGATTTGAGCGTAAGCTCAGAGCGGAATTAAGTGCTAGATTGCCTCATATCACAAAATAGCTCGTCCGTAGAAAAGCCTTATCATTGTGTCTCCAATTCTATACGTAGTCTTGCACCATGCAGTTTTGACAGGATGCTGAAGGGAGGTACTGTCCACTCGACCATTCTGTATGTTGCCAAACAACTTCGGTGTCGCCTGGGTTTGGCGTTCGTTGACAGATAGTTTCACCGCTTCCGACCCCCGATTCTTGTTGTGCCAATCTTAATTTCAGCTACATTTAATACAGTGCATTTCCACCACCATTGACTGTGTCTCCCGTACAAACATGTTTGCGCTATCTTGTAGATTTGGAGTATTGAATAGTGACTATGGCAAACCACACCAATCCTGTAAAGAGAGGCAGACTATTTTCTGGGTAATCTTGCCCTTCTTGGAGGGAGGTACACTGCACAAGAAGCTCCAAGATGTCAACCAAAATTGACATTTTGAATCATGTTCCCTTCAGATGGAGAAAGCTGCAACCAGATTATCATACCATGGATGCGGGAAAACAGTCACTGACCCAAATATGTTAGTCTGCTTGAATAATTCTTGTTGAATGCCGAAGTGCTGAAGTTCGCATCCCACAGTCACTTGGTAGAAACTGCTTAGACCTCAATGTACATACTACCGCAATCAACGAAATGAGTCCCTCGGCTCTGTTTTAGCTTTGAATTGCCCTTAATTCAGGTGCATTTTTCTGTTACAGCTCCCACAATTTGGAACGCATCTCGTTCCCTCGGGTCTTCTCTGCTAGTCTGAATCAATGTTTTCCCGTGGCTTACGTGCTGAAACACGTAGCAAAACAAAGGAGGATTTAAAACGCGTCAATAAATCAAACGGTCATGTCCGAAATTGGTGGGTGTGCTTTGTATTTCTTGTTGGTGGTGGTACATTTGCTCGGCACCAGTTGCGTAGCTCATTTAGGTACTTTTTGTATCGAACCGTTTTTGATCTTGCGTGGAATTCGATTGAGCAAGTTGGCAGGAAAGTGATATCGTTTTACCTGGTACGTTTCTCTGTCTGTAAGGTAACCGAATGGAACGTCTGGGCCGTACAGATGATATTTGCAGGTGTCTGATTCGGGCATCATTTGGACTTACGGAAGTGACAAATCACTGAAGCAAGGCGCTGTCTGTGACACTATTGTTCAATTAGCCATCGTTTAGAGATGTTCTGTTGTCTGATTCGGGCTTCATTTGGCCTTACGAGGCAAGGCGGTGTCTGTGACACTATTATTCAATTAGCCATCGTTTAGAGATGTTCTGACTCTTGATTCAACCATGCGACATTGGCTAACTCTGATGCGAATGACTACCGGTGCCTTTAGACTTGCGATTAAGCTTATCTGTAATTGGTTATCCTTCCAGGTTTCCAGGGAATATTAATGAGTGTGGTTTACCTCAACGAAAATACGTTTGAATTACGACTATGTTCATTACACACAATAACATCTCGGCTAGTTCACATTCACCACCTTCTGGCCTGCTCAGCATGGTTCAGTTTCTGTTGTTAAGCTAACCTTCAGTTTGTCTCTGATGTCCGTTACTCGCAGCGAGATGTGAATACAATCTGTATGGGGCCCGCTACCGATCATCAAGAATGGGCTGTCTTTCGTTCAGCTGTAAGACCCTTCCGTTCGTAGCCACCACGCTACCAGAAGGAAGCACGAGGGCTGAGGTGCTTCCAAGTTGCCCTAGCCTAGATGTGAGCAGTTAAGATGACGGGTTTAGGCTTGAGCCATGGACCTTCTGGTCAGTAAATTTGCGTCTTAACCACTGGGCTATGTTGAACGTGGACACTCGTGCAATCGGTCTATGCTGATGGCAATTGAATCATCAACAATTTGGCTGTGCAAACCTCACGTTGCTCTTTCCTTGGCTTTCTCCTACCCATTCGCCTATATATTTTCCTCGTACTCTCGGTCATGTGCACACAAATGCGTGTTCTACCACTCTGCTGAGTTGTTATTAGCAGCGTGTAAAGCATTGTCGCAGTTTGGAAAAAGTCACAACGATGGGAATTTTCATACTGGCCTGCGTTTTCGTGTCGCTTCTTCATTGACACCTAGTCAATATAATTTCAGAACAGTACAGTACTCTCCTCTTCGAGGATAGACCTTCAATTCTAACAGAATATTTCATCGACAGGTGTTCATCCATGGGAGGGGCAGTCGATGGATGTATTATGCGGCTTTCCACGCCGGATTAATGACATTTTATTTGTGTTCAAGCAAGGCTTCGTGAAACCCGCACTTCGACATCGACGTGTGCTCAAGCTATTCCATACTCTTATTCGTAACTGATTGGTTAGTGCAGTGTGGTCAGCCTACGTCAGTCCTGTTATCTAGGTCATTACGAATGTTAATTTTTATGATGGCTAGCTTAACTAGAAAGATTATCACAAGCAAGCCAGTTTATCATGAAAGTCCACTCTAACTTAAAAAATGGTAATTAGTAGATATCATGGTGCGTATCCTAGACCAAACGATCGGCTGTGTTAAGTCGAGGTGAATTGGTGGCCTGTTGATGCTCTGTGATACTTTATAAGGTATGTTGGCGATGCCAACCGTTGCCTGTGACAGTTGGCTATGATTGGTTACACCAATGATTTGGGGCGAGATGGCTTAGTGGTGAGAGCGGATTATCACAAGCAAGCCAGTTTATCATGAAAGTCCACTCTAACTTAAAAAATGGTAATTAGTAGATATCATGGTGCGTATCCTAGACCAAACGATCGGCTGTGTTAAGTCGAGGTGAATTGGTGGCCTGTTGATGCTCTGTGATACTTTATAAGGTATGTTGGCGATGCCAACCGTTGCCTGTGACAGTTGGCTATGATTGGGTTACACCATGATTTGGAGCGAGATGGTTTAGTGGTGAGAGCGCGAATTTACTGACAGCAGCGTCCGTGCTTCGAGCCAGGCAACCTGACAGTATTCCAGTACTCATGCGCGGCAACTAAGGACCGAAGAGGTGTTACAGCTGAACGGTTTTTTTGCTTTGTGCTCCGTGAGTCGTGTACCACGGTTATCCCTTTCCTCCCGTTCATGTGCAGTTTTGGACCAACCTGACGTACTCAATCAGTGGTTTGGCAATGAAGCGTTGAGGGCGTGAGTAGCAAAATCAGCCACGTTAACAAATGTAATCTCTCTGGTTGGATTACTCAGGACGAGACGTCATAGTGACGGTTACGCAGCTAGTAGCGTTCCTACATAATACATTTTGTCTTTAACCCATAGTTATCGTAACCTATGACTTAGAATTCGAGAACATTCTAATGCTAATCTCATTGCAGTTTGCCGTAAGTCGGCTTATAACTGGTGTCAAACGAGATTTCTGAGTGAGTTTCAGCTGGATCTTTCCTCAACACTGAATTAATTTTCATATAAATGTATAAATACACTGAGCAGTTGATGCTCATGTAAGAAGCAAGGTTGAGGGAAACTAGGAAACTTTGCCTACCTGAAGAGTCCTAAGAATTTGGTAATGTGTCAAAATCCCGGTAGCTCGGGTGAGTTTATTGGTTGTTGATCAGGTGGCTGTTGATCTGTTCACCGAGCTTGGCAATTGACTTGCAAACGTTTCGTCACCATACGAGGAGACGTCATCAGTGACCCACCCAACTGCGCACTGATGATGTCTCCTCGTATGGTGTCGAAACATTTGCAAGTCAATTGCCAAGCTCGGCGAACGGGTCAAAAGCCACCTGATCAACAACCAATAGTCCTAAGAAGAGTGAAGCCGGTTATGGGCTTTCGAAGAGTTCTACTCAGCCTGACGAATAGTGACATATCACAAAGTGACACTGTTTCGGGGCTACAACTGGCTTCTATCTGGGCTTTATAAACGAATTCATTCAATCGGGTCCATTGGTTTGTCTGGTTGCTGATGAGTTTGCTCCTGTCTAAATTCTACTGTGCGTGTCTCATTAATGCTGCTCCAGGGAAAAGAAATGGGTTGCGGTGAAAGATACTTCAATGCTGGTGTACAAATGGATTCCCTCGCTGGCGGTGGACGCTGCCCATCTGAAACGAACCTCTTTTAACAGACAGGCATCTGCTACGCACAACACTCACAACACTGGTGGCCTACTCGCATCCTTCGGTCGTTCCAAGCCGGTTTCCGAAACGACTGTTTGTAATGATACACGCAATGGCACAGACACAACTGACGAACAAGCACCTCAGACAACCGTTCAGACGTCTAAATCCACTGAGCCCCCCGCGGAGGATGATAAAAGTGGAAATACAGGTAAGCATGTGGACAGCTATGCTAAGCTCACCTGTTTTCCTCGATATATTTTACTCGATTACTTCTCGTCTTTTGCTCTGTATAACTTTGAAAACAAGGAAATCCGGCCTTATTCAGGGCGCACGAAACGTCTTTCTCTGGTTCTTCATCAGTCAAAAGCCCCTGATCAACAACCAATAGTCCTAAGAAGAGTGAAGCCGGTTATGGGCTTTCGAAGAGTTCTACTCAGCCTGACGAATAGTGACATATCACAAAGTGACACTGTTTCGGGGCTACAACTGGCTTCTATCTGGGCTTTATAAACGAATTCATTCAATCGGGTCCATTGGTTTGTCTGGTTGCTGATGAGTTTGCTCCTGTCTAAATTCTACTGTGCGTGTCTCATTAATGCTGCTCCAGGGAAAAGAAATGGGTTGCGGTGAAAGATACTTCAATGCTGGTGTACAAATGGATTCCCTCGCTGGCGGTGGACGCTGCCCATCTGAAACGAACCTCTTTTAACAGACAGGCATCTGCTACGCACAACACTCACAACACTGGTGGCCTACTCGCATCCTTCGGTCGTTCCAAGCCGGTTTCCGAAACGACTGTTTGTAATGATACACGCAATGGCACAGACACAACTGACGAACAAGCACCTCAGACAACCGTTCAGACGTCTAAATCCACTGAGCCCCCCGCGGAGGATGATAAAAGTGGAAATACAGGTAAGCATGTGGACAGCTATGCTAAGCTCACCTGTTTTCCTCGATATATTTTACTCGATTACTTCTCGTCTTTTGCTCTGTATAACTTTGAAAACAAGGAAATCCGGCCTTATTCAGGGCGCACGAAACGTCTTTCTCTGGTTCTTCATCAACTGGCTGTTGATCTGTTCGCTCATCTTGCTAATTGTCTTGCGAATTTTTCGTCGGTGGTCTACACATGACATCGTCAATGAGCCAAACTCGGTGAACAGATCAAGGACCGGTAAACGCACCCAAGCTATCGGTTTCCCCCGCTCGTCACAGTCAGGTGTTCGTGTTTGAAGGACAGAGGGGGTTGTTAAATGCAGAACCAAACTCGGCAGATCAAGGACCGGTAAACGCACCCAAGCTATCGGTTTCCCCCGCTCGTCACAGTCAGGTGTTCGTGTTTGAAGGACAGACAGAGTTGTTAAATGCAGAGAGTATACTCTTACATATATATATATATATATATATATATATATATATATCGCACTATCTCGA